GTGTGCCGCCTGACCCAGGTATAGCCGCTGCTGCTCTAGGTGCTAGTGATTCTGGTACTCTCCCTGGTACTATGCCTGCTGAGGCCTTGTATGCACTCGCTACCGAGCCTTCTCAGGTAGCTGCGTCTGCTCAGGTGTCCGCGTCAGGTCAGGTAGCCGCCTCTTGCTCGTGTCGCCTTCTGTCGCACCAGACTCTTCTGTGGCACCACCGGCTGGGTCACCCCTCCCTGCCTCACCTTCGTGGCATGCACTCTTGTCTTCTTGTCTCTGGTCTCCCCAGGTCTCTGCCTCCCCTGCCGCCCTCGCCTGCCTTGCGTCGAGGGGCGGCAGCGCGCCGCTCCTCACTCCTCCTCGTTTCCCCCGACGACTGCTCCCCTGCAGACTCTCCACATGGACGTGTGGGGCCCAGCCAGCGTCTGTGGACAGAGCCGCGAGCACTACTTTCTGCTGGTCGTTGACTACTACACGTGGTACACCACGGTCTTCCCCTTGCGCAGCAAGGGTCAGGTCGTTGATGTCTTGATCCCTTGGATCCGCAGAGTCCGTCTCCAGCTCCGCGAGCGGTTCGGCCAGGACCTTCCTGTCCTGCGTCTGCACTCTGACAGAGGTGGTGAGTTCTCCTCCAACCTCATGCGGGACTTTTGTCGTGGGGAGGGCATTCTCCAGTCGTTCACGCTTCCGGACTCCCCTCAGCAAAATGGGACTGCTGAGCGCCGCATTGGCTTAGTCATGGAGGTCGCTCGTACCTCATGCGGCTGCTCCCCATTTTCTGTGGCCGTTTGCGGTCCGGTACGCTGCGCATCAGCTCAACCTCTGGCCCCGTGTCTCCTTGTCGGAGACCTCGCCCACACTGCGTTGGACGGGGGAGGTTGGCGATGCGTCGGTGTTCCGGGTCTGGGGCTCTCGTGCCTTTGTTCGCGATACGTCAGCGGACAAACTCCCCCCCCGTGTTATCCCCTGCGTCTTTCTTGGCTTTGTCCCTGACGCGCCTGGCTGGCAGTTTTACCACCCCACCTCGCGCCGTGTCTTCCCTTCTCAGGACGTCACGTTTGACGAGTCGGTTCCCTTTTACCGCCTCTTCCCCTACCGCTCTGCCCCTCCCCCGCCCCCACCGCTCTTCCTTGCTCCCGGTCCCGCTCCGGTAGACCCCCTCCCGCCCCAGGGTCCTGCTCCCTCAGGTGTGTCTCAGTTAGACCCTCTCCCTGGTCTTGCGACTGTTCAGGTAGCTGTCGACTCAGGTGCTGCTCGAGGTACTGCGTCTGGGGGTGCGCAGCCTGGGGGTGCGGAGTCTGAGGGTGCTGAGACTGGGCGTGCTGAGCCTGGGGGTGTTGAGAATGGGGGAGCTGAGCTAGGGGGTGTTGCGACTGGGGGTGTTGAGCCTGGGGGTGCTGAGCCTGAGGGTGTTGAGCCTGGGGGTGCTGCGTCGGAGGGTGCGAAGTCTAAAGGTGCGGAGCCTCAGGGTGCTGCTTCGTCTGGAGGTTCTGCTGGTGCTTCGCCGTCACTGTCTCCGCAGCAGTTGTGGGAGTGGTTTGTTCGGCGTACGCGCCTTCTGAGTGGAGCTTCTCGAGCTGGAGGTGCTGGCGCTGCTAGAGCTGGAGGTACTGGAGTTACTGCTGGAGCTGGTGCTACTGGAGGTACCGCCACCACTGGTCATGGAGGTGCTCGTACCCGGGGTACTGGAGCTGCCGGGACTGGTGGTGTAGAGGGTGCTGGAGCTGGAGACCTTACGGTGTCTAGTTCTACTGGCGCTGGTGGCGCTGGAGCTGGAGGAGCTGGAGTTGGTGGCCCTGGTGCACGAGGCGCTTGAGTTGGAGGCCCTGGTGTTGGAGGTGCTGGAGCTGGAGGAGCTGGAGCTGTTGACCCTGGTGGCACTGTGCGGCCGCGACCGTACTTCGTTCCCCTGCTCCAGCAGGTTCTTGGTACCCTGCCTTCTGCTGCCCTTACTCCTCCCCTCCTGTGTCCCCCGCCTGACCAGTCGCAGCCGCCGTTACAACAAGCCTCAGCACTGCCTGCTCCTTCTCCTTACGATGAGCGGGTCGGCGGTCTTACAGAGCGTCGTGAGCCTGCGTCTCGTCCTGTCTCGCATGTTCGCACTGCTCGTTCGCGCTCCTCGTTCGCGTCCTCCTCCTGTCCCTGGCACGCACGCTATGACCCTTCGTCCTTCCTCTGTTCCTCTACGTGTTCTTCTGCCAGCTCCTTTTGAGTCCTCTCTTTCTCAGGCCCCTAACCCTGAGTCTGACTGCGCTCGTGCTGCCAGACCCACTTTCTCTCGTCTCCTCGCCACTGACCCTTCTTTTGAGTCTGCTGATGCGTCTGCTCTCGTTGCTGAGCTGCTTGACTTTGCTGCTGCCTATCGTCTAGACTACGCCACTGCTCTTGTTGCTGAGTCTGAGTGTGCCAGTCCTCCGTCCGTTGGGGGTGAGTGTGCTCTTGGCACGGACGTCCTTGAGGACAGGCAGAAGGACTTTGAGTGTCTTGCAGCTGCTATACCTCGTTTCGCCTCCATGCTGCTTGCCCCTAAGGGAGACCCGGATGCTCCAGAAATCTCAACCCCGCGCTCTTATGCAGAGGCAATTACGGGTCCTTCATCCTCTTAGTGGCAGGCAGCCATGGATGCCGAGATGGCATCCTGGAAGTCCACAGGCACCTACGTCGACGAGGTTCCCCCACGTGGGGCGAACATAGTCGATGGCATGTGGATCTTCAGGGTGAAGCGGTCGCCAGGTTCTCCGCCTGCCTTCAAGGCGTGTTACATTTCTAGAGGCTTCAGTCAGCAACAGGGAGTTGACTACTTCCAGACCTTCTCCCCCAACCCGAAGTTGACTACTCTTCGGGTGTTGCTGCACGTCACTGCTCAGCGTGACTACGAGTTGCACTCTCTGGACTTCAGCACAGCTTTCCTGCATGGCAGCCTGCACGAGGAGATCTGGTTGCGCCGCCCACCTGGTTTCACTGAGTCTTTTCCTGCAGGTACTCAGTGGAGTCTTCGGCGGCCAGTCTACGGTCTCCGTCTGGCGCCTCGCGAGTGGCACGACACACTAAGGACTACACTTGCGGCTCTTGGGTTTGCTCCTGCTACTGCTGACCCGTCGCTGTTTCTACGCACCGACACCTCGCTGCCGCCGTTCTACGTCCTTGTCTATGTCGACGACCTCGTCTTTGCCACTGCTGACACTGAGGCACTGACCCTTGTGAAGTCGGAGCTGAAGAAGAGACACACCTGCACTGACCTGGGTGAACTGCGCAGCTATCTTGGCTTGCGGATCTCCCGGGACAGAGCTCGGCACACCATTACCCTGACTCAGTCACACATGGTGCACCAGGTCCTTCAGCGCTTTGGTTTCTAGTTCTCCTCGCCACAGCCCACTCCTCTGTCTACCAGCCACTCGATCTCACCTCCACCTTCGGACGAGTCCGTAGAGCCGAGTGGTCCGTACCCAGAGCTTGTGGGTTGCCTCATGTACATGATGACGTGCACTCGACCCGACCTCGCGTACCCTCTCAGCCTCCTGGCTCGCTACGTGGCTCCCGGTAGGCACCGAAAGGTGCACTGGGATGCTGCGAAGAGGGTAGTGCGTTACTTGTGCAGTACGTCGGGCATGGGGCTCGTGCTTGGAGGACGGGGTCCAGTTGTCCTCACCGGTCACGCAGACGCTTCCTGGGTTGACGACTCAGCTACGCAGCGGTCGTCATAGGTTTACACCTTCAGCCTTGGCTCTTGCTCTGTCTCCTGGCGGTCTACCCGCTCGTCTTCAGTTCTCAGCTCCAGTTGTGAGGCTGAGATCTACGCCGGGGCCATGGCTGCACAGGAGCTACGCTGGCTCACCTACCTGCTGACTGACTTGGGAGAGCAGCCTCGTTCGCCTCCAGTTCTGTACGTAGACAACAAGGCCATGATTGCCTTGTGTCAGGAGCACAGACTGGAGCACAGATCGAAGCACATCACTCTGCGATACTTCCTTGCTCGAGAGTTGCAGCAGCGTGGTCAGCTTCTCGTTGCGTACGTGGCCACTAGGGCCAACACTGCTGATATATTCACCAAGGCACTTCCGCCTGGTGATCATCAGCGCTTCTCTAGTGTGTTAGGCCTTGTGCCTACTTTGCCTCACTTGCTTACTGCTTGACTCTACTTGTACTGTGATCTATATATATACCTGCATTAGGGATGAGCAGAGGGCGAACTCGAACATGTTCGAGTTCGCCCCCTGTCGAACATGTACTTTTGCCGAACCGAACAGTGTTCGGTTCGGCGAACTATTTGGCCGAAAATATGTGTTCGCCGTTCGCCCTAGGAGGCGAACGATTTTTTTCAGCAGGCGAAGACGAACATGTTCGAGACGAACATGTTCGTGTTCGCCCTGGGGAAAATTCACTATAGTCACACATGTCAGAAAACAGTTTTCAAGGTTGAGGATGATAGCAAAATGTGTGCAGGGTGTATATGTGTGCATGCAACAAACCCAATAGTACAACATCAAATACTGTGAAGGGAAATGTCAAAGTCTAACAAATTCCTACACTAAGGCGCCACTGCTACTACCAACAACAGCATCCTCTCCACCAGTTGTGTCGTCAGCCTCCACACCCTCCTCCTCCTCCTCCTCGTCATCCTCCTCTGCCCCCTCGCCCTCAATGGCGAACTCTGGTGGTGCGACGCCTCTCGGTCGGCGGCCCTCGCCTATCCTCTGGCCAGGGTGTGAACTGTACCATGATCTGAGAATCATGACAGCTCGCGTCCTCTGAGAGGCCAGGCGGTGCCGCTTCCAGGAAATGAGGTTGCGACCAAGGGAGAACACCCGCTCACTCGAAGCGGACGTGGCGGGGATGGCGAGATAATCCCGGGCCATGCGCCTCAGCGTCTGCATGTTGGTGGCACTGCGCCAGTACTCTAGCGCTGTCACGTCGCACCGCACCCTCTCGGACAAGTACCTGCTAACCTCGTCATCCTACACCATCCCACCCGCCCCTGCATCCTGGCTCGCCGACAGACGCGCCGCAAGTCATCGGCGACTAGGGAGAAACTGCGCGTCATCGTCGTCCTCCTCCTCGTCTCCCTCCTCCTCCGCAACGGGGGCAAGTGGGGTCGGCCGTGGAGCAAGCTCTGCAGCCCGGGCCTGGTACTCGGCCACGCGGTCGCGCACCAGCTTGATCACCTCGCCAGACGCCGGACGCGGCCTCACCCTCCTGTCGGTCTCGGGATGCAGCTTCTCCCAGTGCGCGTCGTCGAACCACGCCGCCTTCATGGATGGGTCCAAGAAGGTGGCGATCCAGTACTCGTTGCTGGTGATGTAGGCGTACTTCTTCAAGTGGCTTAGCGCCGCCACGATCATCGGCTGCAGCGTCGGAGATGGCCCCTTGGCAAGGCGCGACTCCATGGCGTCGATCAGGCCGTTGTAGTACGGCACCACCATTGACACAGTCGGGTACGCCGCCCCCTCTGCTGCCTTGGAGACCTTGGCGAAGGGGCTTAGGAATGTCTTCACCGCCTGCAGGGTCTTCCAGTCTGTGTCTGTCAGGCGCAGACTCTCCACCTTCTTCTTGTCGGTCTTCGACAGGCCCTGTCGGGTAGAGGGAATGGTTTGGGGGGAGGTATGAGGGAAACTGTGATTATGGAGGAGGATTTTGGCATCCGGCCGGCAACATACAAGCTTGACCAACAATATTGTGTAGACGTGCTAACACACCACACCATGACATAACCACACACTACAACAACCCACACAAAACATATGTGTTACCTGTGTCTGGGCGAAGAAGACAATGATGGGGTTCTGCAGAACAGCCGCATGCTCGACCATGTCGTGGGTCGACCCCCAGCGCGTAGGACTGTCCTGCACCATCTTCAACGCCGGCTTCGGCGTGGCGGGATTGGCCTGCGAGTTCAAGGTCCGCTGTAGGCCCAAGAAAGACCTCGAGCGCTGTGGAGAGAAGCCAATCCACGACGCCATCTCTCTCAATATCTTCAGCTACTTCCGTATGGAATCCACAGCCAGTGCTGCCTGCACTGCAAGGTTTATCACGTGTGCCAAGCACCTGCGCACGGAACAGAACATTAGGGAAAGAGAAAAGGGGAAGTTGGAGGACACATGGTTAGAGCGAGCCACAAAAACCAAACCAGACCCCTCACAACCTACAACTCGAACCGCACCGGCCCACCCCTCCATACAATTACAAATTGTCCATGCTGGAACGACACGCCCACAAAGGCAAACACACGCCCACATTCCCGCACGTCCAACCCACGCACACTCCCACACTCACCGGAAGTGCATGCGCGAGCTGAAGAAGCACTGACCACCACCCTCCTCCGACATCCACCTGAAGGCGGCAATGTTGCTAGAGGCGTTGTCTGTCGTGAAACCAAGACAACGCCCCTCCAACCCCCACTGCACAACCGTCTCCTCAACCACCTGTGCCATCTCCCTGCCCCCATGCCGCCCGAGCATCTCACGGAACTCAAGCACCATTGTGCGCAGCTGGAAGTTCTCGTCTATCCAGTGACATGTCACCACTACCCATGCCTTGTTGTTGGGTGCCGTCCACATGTCGATGGTGATCGACACCTTGCACCCCAGCTCCCCCTCCTTCGCCAACATCTCCGCAATGGCGGACTGGAGAGCGGTTGTTGCATAGACCACGGTGTCGCGGGATACCGTCCAGCGCGAGGGGATGAAGTTCTTCTGCGCGCAGTTGCGGTTTAGCAGGATCAATAGCTCCCGAAACTGGAGGAGGGTAGAGTAGAGACAACGAGGGAGAGGGTTTTCAACGTCAAGGGGATGGTTTTGAGACAAAGTGGCACACGATTCAACGTGAAAGTCCCAAATCCCCTTCATACAGCAGGCATGGGACACTCATGGCCTCGGACTCGACGATGCGGAAGGGGAGGTCGCAGGTGACCACCAGCTTGGCGATCGCCTGCCGTAGCTCCTCCGTGGACAGCTTGGTTGTCATGAACCGCTCCATCCCGCCTGACCCCCGAGCTCCACCGGACGCCGTCCCTTTCTTCTTGGCGAGATGCGGCCAAGACTTGGCATGCGGCCACCCATCGACGTAGCCATCCGGCACACCCTTGTAGCCCCCATGAGGAAACGTCTCCCCAGGCAAGTGAACGGACGGAGTGTGGTAACGGTGAAGCCACACGTGCATGTGCGCTGTGTGGTAGCTCTCGAAGTGCCGCTCGCCGGGTGTTGTTGTGGATTGCTTCCACGAAATCCTGTCAGTGCAAATCTTGCACTGACGCTTCTCGTCTGCCCCTTTAGGCCCGAACATCTGTACTTGCCACCCCGTTTTCTTATTACCCTTGCCAGTCCCCTTACTACTCTCGGACCCTCCGTCCTCGTCTAGGAGCTCCGGAGCGACCACACCCTCGCCCAAGGGCTTCCCAGTGAATGTGCAGGGATATGCTCGCTCCCTCAACCGGTCAATCATATGTTTATATGTTGTAGTTTAGATAGGCTTTAGTGGGGTACTCACTGTGGGGTACAGCCCCTTAGGTTTCATTTTTGTACCAACACTCTCGACATTCAATACCAACTTTGCCTAGGATTCTAACATGGCATCTAGAGCATAGGTCCTTAGGACCTAGGATTAGGGCCCACCGTACCTGCCTGCCTTGTCTAGTGCCCGCGCGCGCCTCGGCTGCCCGCGCGCGCCTCGGGCGGTCCTTTTTTTTTCCCACGTGCGCCGCTTCAGCAGCCCGCGCAGCCCGTCTCGGCCCCGCCTGTGCGCCCCTTAAGCCGCCCGCGCGCAACCTGGTTAGGCCACGCCAGCGCGGCCCGTCGCCCAGTGCAGCCGCGCACGCTGCCTGTCGCCACGCGCAGCCCGCAGCTGCAAGCAGCCCGCAGCCCACGCAGCCCGTCGCCGCACGCAGCCTGCGGTCGCGCGCGCTGCCTGTAGCCACGCGCAGCCTGCAGCTTCGCGCAGCAAGCCGCCACACGCAGCCAGCAGCCGCCCTCAGGCCGCTCCTGCCTGCTGCTTGTTGCCGCCTGCTTGCTGCTTGCTACCTGCTGCCGCCTGCCTGCTGCCTGCCTGCTGCCTGCCTATCTGCCTGCTGCCGCCTGCCTGCTGCTTGCTGCCTGCTGCCGCCTGCCTGCTGCCTGCCTGCTGCCTGCCTGCCTGCTTGCTGCCTGCTGCCGCCTGCCTGCCGCCTGCCTGCTGCCTGCCTGCTGCCTGCTGCCGCCTGCCTGCTGCTTGCTGCCCCTGCCTCCTGCCTCCTGCCTCTGCTGCCTGCCTCCTACCTGGTGCCTACTGCCTCTTGTCTGCTGCCTGCTGCCTCTGCCTGCTGCCAGCTGCCTGCTGCCTCCTGCCTTAAGCCAATATGGCGACGCCTAACGTTCTAGCGCTCGAGCCTGACGGTCGTCCCATTGAGTTCGCTGTATGGTTAGACGATCTCCAGCTGTTCCTTCTGACTGATGCCAAAGAGGGCGTTTCCCTGTTTGATTACGTCTCTGGCACTGCCGTTGCGCTTGCTGCTGATGCTCTTGCTCTAGAACGCTCCCAGTGGCAGACTCGTGATGCTGCTGCACGCCTAGCTATTAGGAAACACCCGCCGATTACTGAGCGAGCGCATTTCAGCCAGCACAGAACTGCTAAGACACTGTACGACGCTGTAGTTGCGCGCTACTCCTCCCCGGCCACTGCAGCCATAGGTTGACTCATGCTACCATACCTGTTCTCCGATCTTTCCTCGTTCACCACTGCTGAGGACCTAGTTTCTCACCTGCGCGCTACTGACTCTCGCTTTCGTGCCGCCCTTTCAGCCGAGTTCTGCGCCGCAAATCCCCCCCCGATGTACTTCACTCTCTATTTCCTCGTCACCTGCCTCCCTGACACTCTTAGCTCTGTCAGGGACCACTTCCTAGCGCTAGACCCCACCACTCTCACTGTCGACGACTTCGAGAAGCACCTCCTCGCAGCAGAGAAGAACATCCTCGCTGTAGGTGCTGCTCGTGGCACTCCTCGCTCTCCCCTCTTTGAGGGGTGCTCCCCCTCCCCTCTCACCCCCTCCTACGCCTCCGCAGCTGCTGCTCACGACTACCTTGGTGCTGAGGAGGTCGGATCTGCTTCCGCTCCTAGTGGGAAGCGTCGCAGCGGCAGGGGCGGCAGGGGTGGCAGGGGCGGTGGGGGTGGCGGTGGAGGTGGCGGTGGTGCAGGCGGCGGGGGAGGTGGAGGTGGTGGGGGTGGTCGTGGGGGTGGAGGCGGTGGAGGTGGTGGTGGGGGCGGCGGAGGCACTGGGAGCGGTGGAGGGGGCAGCAGCGGCAGTGGGGGAGGAGGGAGCGGTGGTGGCAGTGGTGGTCAGGTCCAGCAACAGCCGCAGCAGCAGCAGCAGCAGCAGCAGCAGCAGCAGCAGCAGCAGCAGCAGCAGCAGCATCAGCGGCAGCGCCAGACCCCCACTTCCCAGCAGCTTCTTGACTAGTATGCCGGGCGTGGGGCTTCTGGGGGTCCTGGTCGCTGCCCCTATATCATCCGCACAGGTCCCCGCGCTGGTCGCCAGTGCACAGGTTTTCACACTGAGCAGCGCTGCTTCGCTCGGCTTAGCGACGCCTGGCGCGCCAAGTTTCCTGATGCTCCTGAGTTCCCCAACTGGGCAGACTTGCTTAGGCGTGATGTACCTATCTTTGATCTTGACTATGAGGCAATTCTTGCTGCTATGTATTTATTGTCTGTTAGTGCTGAGGGTGACTGCTACTTGTGTGTGCCGCCGGATCCTGGTATAACCCCTGGTATAGCCCCTGCAGCACTAGGTGCTTGTGAGTCTGCTCCCCCTGGTCCTGCGCCTGCACAGGCCTTGCATACCTTTACACTTGACTCTGGTGCTTCCTGCTGTTTCTTTCGCGACAGTACCACAGTCACTCCCCTCCCTGCACCTGTTCCTGTCTCACTGGCTGACCCCTCTGGGGGCCCAGTGCTTGCACGGTCTTCCACTGTGCTTCCGTGTCCGGCGGTCCCGTCTGGTGAGCTGTCTGGTCTCCACCCCCCCTCGTTCTCTACGAACTTGGTGAGTAACGCTGTCCTCCAGGATGCGGGGGTTGACACCTTCACCCCTGGCCGGCAGCGTGTGGCGATTTGCACGTGCTCCCAGACTGGTCGCCACCTGGCCACGTTCGCTCGTGCGCCAGGGTCCAGTCTGTACACCCTCACCACTGCGTCGCGCTCCGCCCCTTTGTCTCCCCAGTTGCACGCGTCTGCTCAGGTAGCTACACAGTGTGAGTGTCGCCGGCTGTCGCACGACACTCTCCTGTGGCACCACCGCCTTGGTCACCCCTCCCTGCCTCGCCTGCGCAGCATGCACTCCCGCTTCCTGGTTTCTGGTCTTCCCAGGTCTCTGCCTCCCCTCCCTCCCTCGCCTGCGCCGCCCTGCATTCCTTGTGTCGAGGGGCGGCAGCGCGCCGCTCCTCACTCCTCCTCGTTCCCTCCCACAGAGGCTCCACTACAGACTCTCCACCTGGACGTGTGGGGCCCAGCCCGCGTCCGTGGACAGGGCCACGAGCGGTACTTCCTGCAGGTTGTCGACGACTACACGCGTTACACCACGGTTTTCCCCTTGCAGCGCAAGGGGGATGTCCCTGATGTTTTGATCCCCTGGATCCGCGCTACTCGTCTCCAGCTCCGCGAGCGGTTCCAGTCGGACTTTCCTGTCCTGCGTCTGCACTCTGACAGAGGTGGTGAGTTCTCCTCAGACCTCTTGGCAGCCTTCTGTGCGGAGCACGGCATCCGCCAGACTTTCACGCTTCCGGCCTCTCCGCAGCATAATGGGGTTGCTGAGCGCCGCATTGGCTTAGTCATGGAGGTCGCTCGTACCTCCATGATCCATGCGGCTGCCCCCCATTTTCTGTGGCCGTTTGCGGTCCGGTACGCCGCGCATCAGCTCAACCGTTGGCCCCGTGTCTCCTTGCCGGAGACCTCGCCCACACTGCTGTGGACGGGGAAGGTTGGCGACGCGTCGCGTTTCCGGGTCTGGGGTACTCGTGCCTTTGTCCGTGATACCACCGCGGACAAGCTCTCCCCTCGCGCCATTCCCTGTGTCTTCCTTGGCTTTGTCCGTGACGCGCCTGGCTAACAGTTTTACGACCCCGCCTCGCGCCGTGTCTTTGTGTCTCAGGACGTCACCTTTGACGAGTCGGTCCCCTTTTACCGCCTCATCCCCTACCGCACTGCTCCTCGCCCCCCCCCCGCCGCTCTTTCTCGCCCCAGGTCCTCCCCAGGTAGACCCCCTCCCCGCGCCAGGTCCTGCTCCTTCAGGTGTCTCTCAGGTAGACCCCCCCGCGCCTGCGCCTGTTGAGGTCACTGGTGACTCCGTTCCTGCTGGGAGTGGTGCTGTCCCTGGGGGTGCGGAGCTTTGGGGTGCTGAGTCTGGGGGCGCTGAGCGTGTGGAGCCTGGAGGTGTTGCGTCTGGGGGTGCTGCGTCTGGAGGTGCTGCGTCTGGAGGTGCTGCGTCTGGGGGTGCTGAGCCTGCGTGTGCGGAGCCTGGAGGTGCTGAGTCTGGGGGTGAGTCACCTGAGGGTTCTGAGACTGCTATTACGCGGTCTCCTTGGAGTAGCCGTCTTCGTCTGCGTGTGCCCCTCACCTCCCAGCAGCTGCACGACTGGTACGGTCGCCGTCAGCGTCGCATTTCTGCACCTCGGGGCTCTACTGCTGGGGGTTCTTCTACTGGTGTCGCTGGTCTCGGAGGTGCTCGTACTGGGGGTTCTGGAGCTGCTGGGGCTGGCGGTGTTGCTGCTAGAGGTACTGGAGCTGCTGGAGGTGCTGGAGGTTCTGGCGCTGCTGAGGGTACTGGGGTTGCTGGCGGTGCTGGACCTGCTGAGGGTGCTGGAGCTACTGGTGGTGCTGGTGCTGCTGTTGGTACTGGAGCTGCTGAAGGTGTTGGAGCTGCTGGAGGTGCTGGAACTGCTGGAGGTACTGGAGCTCCTGGTGCTGGTGGCACTGCTCAGCAGCGTCTGTTCTTCACTCCGCCGTCTCCGTCGTCTCAGCCACCACCTGACTCTGCACTTCGCCAGGTTCGCAGTCTTCCCTCGTCTACTTGTCTTCCATTACAGCCTGGCTCACCGCTGCCTGCTCCTTCTCCCTACACAGAGCAGACTGGGGGCCTTGCAGAGCGTCGTGAGCCTGCGTCGCGTCCTGTCTCACCTGTCCGTTCCGGTCGTCGTGTTCCTCGTCTGAGCCAGCCGGCTGTCTCCGGCCCTCACCTTGTTGTTCGTCGTCCTTACTCTCCTCCGTCGCGTGTTCCTTCCTCTCCTCCGTCGCGTGTTCCTTCCTCTCCTCCGTCGCGTGTTCCTCTACCGTCTCCCCCTGCGTCCTCTCTACCTGTCGTTGCTGACCCTGCGTCTGACCAGTTTCGTGCTGAGCACTCTACTGCCACGCGTCTGCTTGCCACTGTTGTCACTGACCCGTCGTTTGAGTCTGCTGCTGCATCTGCCTTAGTCGCTGAGCTTGTTGACTTTGCTGCTCACTGTCGTCTAGACTACGCCGCCAGTCTTGTTGCTGAGTCTGAGTCTGTTTGTCCTCCGTCCGTCGGGGGTGAGTGTGCTCTTGGCACGGACGTCCTTGAGGACAGGCAGGAGGACCTTGAGTGTCTTGCAGCCACTGCGCCTCATCTCGTGTCCATGCTGCTTGCCCCTGAGGGAGACCTGGATGCACCAGACATCCCTACCCCGCGCTCTTACGTTGAGGCGATCGTGGGTGAGTACTCCTCTTAGTGGCAGACAGCCATGGACGCAGAGATGGCATCCTGGAAGTCCACAGGCACCTACGTCGACGAGGTTCCCCCTCCTGGGGCGAACATTGTCAGTAACATGTGGATTTTCAGGGTGAAGCGGCCTCCAGGTTCTCCGCGTGTCTTCAAGGCTCGCTACGTGGCTCGAGGCTTCAATCAGCGAGAGGGAGTTGACTTCTTCCAGACCTTCTCCCCCACCCCGAAGATGACCACTTTTCGGGTGCTGCTGCATGTTGCCGCTCAGCGTGACTACGAGCTTCACTCTCTTGACTTCAGCACAGCCTTCTTACAGGGCAGCATGCACGAGGAGATCTGGCTGCGCCGCCCACCTGGCTTCACTGGGTTGTTCCCTCCTGGTACCCAGTGGAGCCTCCGGCGGCCGGTCTACGGTCTCCGCCAGGCGCCACGTGAGTGGCACGACACACTGAGGATGACACTTGCGGCTCTTGGGTTTGCTCCGTCGACTGCTGACCCGTCACTGTTTCTGCGCACCGACACTTCGCTGCCGCCGTTCTACATCCTCGTGTACGTCGACGACTTGGTCTTTGCCACTGCTGACACTGAGGCTCTCGCCCTGGTGAAGTCAGAGCTGCAGAAGAGACACAAGTGCACAGACCTGGGTGAACTACACAGCTATCTTGGCTTGCAGATCACCCGTGACAGAGCACGCCGCACCATCACACTGACTCAGTCACACATGGTGCAGCAGGTCCTTCAGCGCTTCGGCTTCACCTGGTCCTCAGCACAGGCCACTCCTCTGGCTTTAGGTCACTCGCTCTCAGCTCCACCTTCGGACGAGTCCGTAGAGCCGAGTGGTCCTTACCCAGAGCTAGTGGGCTGCCTCATGTACCTGATGACCTGCACTCGTCCAGACCTTGCATACCCTCTTGGCCTTCTGGCTCGCTACATGGCTCCTGGTCGGCACCGAAAGGTGCACATGGATGCTGCTAAGAGGGTACTACGCTACTTGTGCAGTACATCGGGCATGGGGCTCGTGCTTTGAGGACGGGGTGACGTTGTCCTCACTGGTCACTCGGACGCCTCTTGGGTTGACGACCAGGCTACGCAGCGGTCGTCACAGGGTTACACCTTCAGCCTTGGTTCTGGTTCAGTTTCCTGGCGTTCTACACGTTCGTCTTCAGTTCTCGGCTCCAGCTGTGAGGCCGAGATCTACGCCACAGCCATGGCTGCGCAGGAGCTACGCTGGCTCACCTACCTGCTGACCGACTTGGGAGAGCGGCCTCGTTCTCCTCCAATTCTGTACGTCGACAACAAGGCCGCCATTGCCTTGTGTCAGGAGCACATACTGTAGCACAGAACAAAGCACATCGCTCTCCGTTACTTCCTTGCTCGAGAGCTGTAGCAGCGTGGCCAGCTTCGTCTTACTTACGTGGCCACTCGGGCCAACACTGCTGATATATTCACCAAGGCGCTTCCGCCTGGTGATCATCAGCGTTTCTGCACTTTGTTAGGCCTTGTGCCTACGCTTCCTCACTTGCTGTAGGCTTTGTTTGTACTGTGATCTATATATATACCTGCATGCTTGCTCTTTTAGGTAGATATCACTGTGCTGTTGTTGTTACATATATATCTCTGCATGTGAACTGGCCTTGTGGCCTTTTGCTTGTGCTCAGACTGCGTGGTGACATTATGATCCACCCTGAGCTTGCTTTGCACTTCCTACCTGGCCTTGTGACCCTCTGTTCTCCCCCACTTTGCCTATGGGGGTGTGTCAAACATATGTTTATATGTTGTAGTTTAGATAGGCTTTAGTGGGGTACTCACTGTGGGGTACAACCCCTTAGGTTTCATTTTTCTACCAACACTCTCGACATTCAATACCAACTTTGCCTAGGATTCTAACACAACTTTCTCGCCCTCTTCCTCCGCTTCGGCATCCTAATGGATGCCCGCTTTCTCCCCACCTTAACCCCCACGCTCCCTCCTCCTTCAGCCACATGCTGTGAGGCCGCCTCTGTCGCCGCCCCTTCACCACCCTCTCCCACCCCCTCCTCCACCTCCTCTGGCTCCAACCCATCCATCTCATGGTCCTCCTCATCATCCCCCCCTTTCCCACCGCCATGCGTCTCGAAATCCCACCCGGCCTCACTGTCATCCCCGCTCCCCTCATCGTCCTCATCCTCCTCGCCCTCACTCTCCTCCTCCTCATCCTCCTCCCCACTGCCACTCTCCGGCTGCGTCTGCCCAGAAGGAGGGGGTCGCGGGCCTGAGTAACGGAACGAGTGACGGGACGTCGGCGCCGCTACGGAAAGAAACCCCTCGACGAAACAAGCGCCGGCTCCTGCAGGTCCATCCCCTACTCGCCCCTGCATAGGTCGTGGTGGAGAACCTGGTGTACCGCCCTGAGCGCTGCCTGCACCTCGTTCTACAGATCCATGTTGGCTGGAAGCCATAAATCCGCCCTCGGCCTTAAAACCCTAAAACCCCAAACGAACGGTCGCAAGCCACGGATAGCACGGTCCTAATTGAACTCCTAGTTACGTGTGGCACGGAGAAATGCCCGCCCCTACAACTAGAGAATTGACCTCTACGAAATTGATCCCGTAGCTACTACGAACTAACCCCTCGCGATTTCTGAAATTACCCTTCACTACTACGAACTACTTAGTTGAAATGATCGTGTAATAGTTAGGGAACGGTGTGTGGTGTCTCTTAAAGGGATGAAGCCTATGGTGGTTGAGGGAGGGAGGGCTAACCAACAAAGACGTTTTGAGTTTGAGCTCAAAAAATGAGCTCAAACTCAAATTGGCCGCGACCTAAATTTGGTCGCGGCCAATTTTGACGCGAACACTTTGGTGTTCGCGTCAAGCCCAAAACGAACACGAACATGTTCGTGTTCGTCCACACTCCGCCAAATGGAGGTGGCGAACGGCGAACATGTTCGCCTCGAACATGTTCGAGGCGAACCGAACAGGTGTTCGAGATCTTGCTCATGTCTAACCTGCATGCGTGCACTTGCTAGGATATGATCACTATATTGTTTGTTTTCTTTATATCACTCTGCATGTGAACTGGCCTTGTGGCCCTTTGCTTGTGCTCGGACTGTGTGGTGACTTTGTGATCTAACCTGAGCTTGCTTTGCTTTTCTTGACTGGTCTTGTGACCACTTGTTCTCCCCCACTTTGTCTATGGGGGTGTGTCAGAACATTATAGCTTATACATTTGTGTAGGCTGTAGTGGGGTAGCCCACAAGGGGTACAACCCAATTAGGGTTAGTACTTGTACCCAACCGTTTCATAGTTCACATATTCTCGTTCGTTATTTTGACATGCCATGACAAAGTCAATATACCAAAGCAGGTATGCAACATTCCTAGCAACTTAGCAAGGTAATTGTCCAGCGCAGCACGAAGACGATGGTGTGACAACGCTGCAGCAAGGAGGCTTGCCAGCGTTGCACGAGGCGGCCTGCCAACACTGTAGTCGCAGGTGAAGAAGTGCGAACATGCGTGGCACCTACCAAGTAGGTGCAGGTCTGCACAAGAAACGGTTGCGTGCACATGATGCACATTGCACAGGTGCCAAGTTGTAGTACACATGATGCTCGTCCCACAAGTTGACTTTTGCCAATATTGTCTAGGGCGAAACTTGCACACGTACAGAATTTCGCTGACCAATGATGGTTGGTCGACCTGAAGAGGCCACTTAACCGATACCAACACCCGTCCGTCGATCGACGCCCATAGGTTGGCGCTATGTCGACGACCACTTTTGTCAACCGTCGAGGCTCGACAGGATCCAGACTTCACTTTGTAGGCCAGCGTCTCGTCGGCTTCATATAAATCAGCTTCGCTGTGGTCGCCTTCGCCGAAGTCGGCTAACCAAACTTGCAAAATTCATCATAAATCTCGGAGCTGACCACGAAGCCTAGACGGTTGCACACCTTGCGCACCGGTCTCGGAGCTGACCACGAAGCCTAGACGGTCCAACCGGGGGCGGGCGGAGGAGTTCGAAAAATTTCCTTACAAAGTCTAACAATTGACTTTAGAGATTTCACATTTATGAGGATATAGAATTTCGACAAGGGGTTGCACAAGCTGAGGATGGTTTTACAGAGGCGATATCAAGTTGAGATCAGGGCCTGTTACATTTGTTCAATTGAGGAAAATCTCCAGACTCCCTCCAAGAATGGTTCGGATACCGAATTTCGGACGGTCCGAGTCCAGCATTCAGACTGAGCCTCGTCCGCTCGTTGTTCATGACAATCAAACCACTCGCGAAACTGTAACCATGATTACGACGCCACTGCGATTAAGGTAACACTCAAGCGACTCGCAGGGATGTCCATTGAAATCGCGTTACAGTTACATCCGTTCGTTTATCGAGCGGTACATGTCTGGACGACTTGGGAGGACATTTTTATACAAAAAGTTACATCAGCGGCCCGCTCGTTAACGACGTCGCAAGGGTATTAACCTGGACTCTAACGTCCGGAATTTGACCCGTACGGACTGGCAAAGGTGAAAAATGTAACACGCCCTGATTCCCCCCCACAAAGCGTCAGCCCCACGTGGCTAGGATCCGCCAGGTGTGTCCGTGCGGGCGTATTCGGGACTGACGATGAGCGAGTGGTTCTAGTAGTACGCGTTAGTATGGGCCTCGATTTGTGGGTCTAAATAAGCTGCAATGGCTGTCGCAACGCTCTCTCCTGCGACGACTCCACCGCTTACGTCATTCACTCCACGGGTGACGTTGATGTCTCATTGCGCAGCTGAGCCTCGGGAATCCCGCGCCGGGAGGTCCGGCCGAGCCAATAGTCTCGTCGCGCATAGTAACAGTCAATGGCGATTCGGCAGTAGAAGGCTATTCGCAGGCCGATTCGAACCTAGATATTCGCGGGGATCAGCTGTAAAGACGCATTCAGCGAGCTTGTTACACCGTGCGTTTCACGGTTTTGATGTATCGAGAACGTCGCGCCTATTCAGTCCCGAGAAGGTGCCGGCGCAGCAGATTCGACATCGGCGGCTTGTAGTAACGAGTCGGGCTATATCGGACCCGTTCGCGTTCTCGTTTGACGATGGAGAGGAGAACGAGGAAGGGGATGCGGCGGAGAGCTACGGTTGCGGCGACAACGAGCGAGGTGAGCGGCAAACCGGAAATCCTTCCAGGCATGCATCGGCTGTATTGGGAAAGTGATTATATCAGAGAATCCATGCAAGCATGCATTGAGTCACCTTCTCGTTTCGTGGCGGAACAAAGGCCAGCGAGGGGGAAGGGGAGGGGTAGGAGCGGGAGGAGAGGGGGGCGAGGGGGAGGAGCACGAGTGGGAGGAGGCCGAGGGTAGGCACCTGTAAGAATTGTCTAAAAGCTCCACACTTCTCTCTTATGATTCCACTCATCCTCTCCTTTCCTGTCCCCACACCCACACCCACACCCACACCCACACCCACACCCACACCCACACCCACACCCACACTCACACCCACACACACACCGACACCCACACCGACACCCACACTCACACCCACACTCACACCCACACCCACACCAACACCCACACTCACACGCACAATCCAAGGCCCACATGCATCGTAACCCCCTGCCTGCTCCACCCGCTCCTTTGGTTGCGCTCTGCTGCTCTCCTCTGCGACGCCCAAAGCCCCCCGGCCCATCCCATCCCAACCCGACATCTTTCCCATTCCCTAGCCTCCCCCCCCCCCCCCCCCCCCCCCCCTTTTCCCCCCCCTGTTTTCCCCATTTTTCTCCTTTCTCTCGATTCTCCTCATTCCCCCTCATGCAGATGCACAGGCGGACACCCTAGCAGCTCTCGACTGGCCCGCCCTCTCCTCCTTGGCTTGCTGCCTGCTACTCTCAATGCATGCCCTCTTTTCTTCCTCTGATCCCCCTATCTCTCCCCATGCAGACCCAGAGGAGGAGACCCTAGCAGCGCTCGACTGGCCCGCCCTCTGCGCCACCCTCTCGTCCTTCGCCTCCACCTCATACGCCCGCCGCCTGCTGCTCTCCCTGCGCCCCCCCAAAGCCAAAGCACCCGCCCAGGCCCACCCCACACTCGCTGTCCCCTCTCACTCTTCCACCCACTCAGAAAGAACCCACTTGGAAAAAGCCCCTTCAGAAGAAACCCCGTTGTGGGGGTATGCAGAGCTACAGGAGCATTGCGAGGGGCTGCTGGAGGAAACAGCAGCGGCGATCGAGCTGGAGGAGAGGGCCGGGGGCGCTGTGGACCTCAGTGGGGTGAATGCCTCGTTAGTGGGTGATGCGTTAAGAGTGCTGGGGCGCGGGATGAGCGTGAGTGGGCGGCAGGCTGCTGCTGTGGCTGCGATGATGGTGGCGGCCAATGGCGTGCGGCGAGGGGTCATGGATGCTGTTGCTGACGTGGAGCGAGGAGGGCAGGGCGGTGGAAGGGAAGGGGGTGGAAGGGAGGGGGGCGGAACTAGCCGGCTGCATGTGCTTCTGGATTTGGTGAGTGCCATTAGAGGAAGGATGATGCGTGGCTGTGATGATGGCATAGGGTTGAACGTGGCTGTGATGATGGCATAGGGTTGAACGTGGCTGCAACTGGGTGGAGTGGTGGAGACTGGGTCACTGGGATGACCGGATGGAGCACGGATATCGGGCGTGGGTGCTGTATCTCTCTTCCCCTTCTACTTCCCCCTCTTCCCCCCATGCCCCCTCCCGCTGCATGCAAGCCCATGGCCAACTCACAAAGTTCACCTCAAACATCCCCTTCCCCTCACCCCGCCGACCCCCCGTCAGCTCAAGCCCATGGCCACCAGACCAGACTTGGTTCGGCGCATCTGGTCCGCCGTGGACGAGGAGGGGCAGGTTCGGGACACAGCGAGTGCGGAGGTTCGGCAGGCCCGAGCCGCGTGCCAGCTTGCCGCCGCCCGGGCAAGGGAGGCGGTGGCGCGGGCGGCTAGGGGGAGGGGGGCGGGCGGCGGGGTGGTGGAGGAGGTGGTGGAGGTGGAGGGGCGGTTTTGTATGGTAGTGAGCCGACAGATGATGAGTTCCGGGGAGGGGAGCTCCTCTGGGCTCGTCATGAAATCGTGAGTGTCTGTCTGCTGTCGTGTTTCTCAGGTGACGGAGGTGCAGGGCGGTTCTGTGCGGTGCTGAAACCCTTTTGTGTTCAACGACAAGTTTACGCAAAGAGCAAACAAAAACTGCACAATATACATCCCTCCTGAAACAGTACTTGGCTATTTCCCTCCCTCCCTCATCGTAGCTGTTATTTCAACCACAGGGTCTCAGCAAACTTTGGTCCGTTGCATCATTTTCCTCTCTCTCCAGGCCATCACCCTCTCTCCCCAGGCCATCACCCTCTCTCCCCAGGCCATCACCCTCTCTCCCCAGGCCATCACCCTCTCTCCCCAGGCCATCACCCTCTCTCCCCAGGCCATCACCCTCTCTCGCGGTGATAGAACCTACCTTGGCGCTTCAGCCTTTGAGACTTCTCAAGAATAGAACCTACCCTGGCGGTTTAGCTTAACAACCGGTACGAGTGCCAGTGCCAAGGCCAGTGCTGGCAGTGCGGACACGTGGCGAGCAGTGCTGGCAATGCTGGCAGTGCTGTGTTCACACGGTTGCGAGATGTCTCAAACCTTGTTCACTCGCCCCTTCTGCTCCTTACCACATTCTGTTTAACCCTCACCTCTCTCCCCTCCCTCACCACATTCTGTTTCCCCCTCACCTCCCTCACCTCCCGCACCTCCCTCACCTCCTGCAGCTCATCGCCGTCCCTGGCAGTGATAGAGCCCACGTCAGCCGTGCAGCTGAACAACCGCTACAGCGAGGCCAGTGCGGAGGCGTGGCGGGCGGAGCAGGCAGTGCTGGCGGTGCTGTCACGAGACATGGGGGAGGCGGTGGGGGACGTGCACGGGGTGCTGGAGGCGATGGTTCGACTGGACGTGGTGAGTGCTGGAGGCGATGGTTCGACTGGACGTGGTGAGTGCTGGAGGCGATGGTTTGACTGGACGTGGAGGCGATGGTTCGACTGGACTGCTGCTCCCTGCCGCTCCCTGCTGCTCCCTGCTGCTCCCTGCTTTCCCCTGCTGCTCTCATACACACACGCATTACATGCACACACGCATTACATGCACACAACACACACGCGGACAGGCGTACACTCAGCAGACAGCGGTGGGGTGGGGGACGTGCAAGGAGTGCTGGAGGCAGTGGTTCGACTTGACGTGGTGAGCTGAGCCCTTCTTCTCTACCCACTCACACGCACCACTCAACCCCCTCTCCCCCTCCTCCCTCCCTCCCCCCCCTCCCTCCCCCCACCCCTGCACACATGCACACAGACGGCAGGTAGCGGGCAGGTAGGTGAAGCGAAGCATGTAGCCGGCAGGCAGTGCTGAGGCGGGTAGAGCAGGCTGTGCTGGCGGTGCTGCCATGGGAGATGGGGCAGGTGGCAGGGGACGTGCAAGGGTGCAAGGGGCGTTGAGGGACTCCCATCTTGCCAGTACCATCCTCGATACCACACACCATCATACTCCCCCCTTACTCTCCTTTCCTGTTATCCCTTCCCCACCCTGCATCCATCCCTGTCAGAGCATAGCACAGCACGCTAAAACAGTTGGATCTGTGCCTTCTGAGATAACTCACCATTCTTCCCGACGCCTCTGATTTTCTCCTTTCGCTCTCCTCCTACCCTACTTCGCTTCCCCCCATCCCGTCATCCGACCATCCCTGTCATCAGATCATAGCGAGAGCACGCTACAGCAGCTGGCTTGGTGCCACTCGCCCGTCCTTCACCCCTCTTGCTGAGGGTCAAGGGTTTAAGGTCACCACCACTTCTTCCTCTCCTGATGTCACGTCATCTGAACTTGCCACGTCAGCAGTAACTGCCACATCAACAGACCCTGCCACGTCAGCTGCATCAGCCACGTCAACAGTACCCTCTGCTCCGCTCGTCGACATTCGCTCTCTCCGCCACCCGCTTCTCCTCCAGCAGTACCGCGCCGCCCAGAAACGAGCCAATCAGAGGCTGCAGAAGGCAAAGCGGGCGGCAAACAGACTACGGATGCGTCCCGGCATGGCAGCAAGTGCAGCAGCGGCAGCAGCAGCAGCGTCAAGAGGAGGAGAGCAAAGGGCAGCAGCAACACCAGTAGCAGCAGGAGCAGGAGCGGAAGTGAGTGGTGGAGTAGGGGAAAATTCCCCTGGGGGGTGGGTGTCCCAGCTTCAGGAAGCGGAGAGGGAAGTGAGGCAGGCGGAGGAAGAGGTGGGGCGAGCAGAGGCGGCAGTGCCTGTGCCGATAGACGTGACAGTAAGGAGGGGGTGCCATGTGGTGACTATAACAGGGCCCAACACCGGCGGCAAGACGGCTGCCATCAAGGCAGTGGGGCTCGCAGCTCTCATGGCCCGATGCGGTGAGTGGTTGGGGGGGGTGGAGAGATGTGGTGAGTGTCATATAGATGTGGGTGGGCGGCAGGGGAGGGGTTGGTGGGTGGGTGGCAGGAGGGGTTGGTGGATGGGTGGTGACTGTTAGCAAGGCCGTTGGGCTGCCAGCACTCATGGCTCGATGTGGTGAGTGCGTTGCGGGAGTTAGGTGAAAGGTTGTGGTGGGTGATGTGGCAGTAAGGAGGGATTGCCGGGTGGTGACTGTAACAGGGCCCACCACTGACGGCAAGACTGCTGCCATCAAGGCAGTGGGGCTCGCAGCTCTCATGGCTCGAGGCGGTGAGTGCTTTGATATGAGAATTGAGTGACAGTGGGGTTTTCCTGTTAGAATAAGCACAAAGGGAGGTGTAGCAGGGGAGGCAGTGGGCCACCTTCTCCTCATGCTCTCTGCCTGCGCCAACCCCCGTGACCCCGTCTGTGCCTCCCCACGCATTCTTCTTCAGCCCACCTCCCTCTCTTCGACCTCGTACTGGCCAACATCAGTCGCATTCTCAATCACTTGGTCCGTTGCTCTCTTGCTGCCTCTCCCCGCTCCTTCTTTCCAGGCATCTCTCCCCCCCCCGCCGGCCTCTCTTCCACCTGCTGCGCGGCATTGGCGACCCCCAATCTCTTACCCACTCCCTCTCCACCTTCTCCTCTTGCTCTCTGCCTGCCCCAACCCCCGTGTGACCCCGTCGGTGCCTCCCCTCCCCAGGCATCTACGTGTTGGCATCATCACCCGCCCGCCTGCCTCTCTTTGACCTCGTGCTGGCCGACATCGGAGACGCCCAGTCGCTCACGCAGTCCCTCTCCACCTTCTCCTCGCACCTCGTCCGCATCAGAAGCATCCTGGAAGCTGCCACCCCACGCTCCCTCGTGCTGTTGGACGAGGTAAGTTTCCTTTCCTCACCTCCCTCATCCCTTTCATTCCTTTCATTCCTTTCATCCCTTTCCCCACGCCCTCTCATCCCTTTGAGACTGAGAGAGAAAGAAGAACAAGCAAGCAAAACATAATCAGCTTTGTAATCCAGAATACGCTTCTTGCGCCTTGATGAAAAGGTTTCAGGCCACAGCAGTGAGTGTGCGCCCTCCCGGAGCGCATCTCCCCCCTCGTGCAACCTGCCAAGTCATGCTCCCTCGTACAGTTGGGCGAAATGAATCTTCTCTGATATGCTCAGCCCATTCCCTCCTTGCTACCATTTGTCCATTCCGCACTTTCTCCCTCCTGCAAGGAACCTGCCATGCCACTCCCTTGTGCGGCTAGAACAGGTGTGCCCTGTGCGGCTAGAACAGGCATGTAGATAGACTCAAAAGAAGGCCTTCACGGCCAGCACCAGCACGTAGTCCCTTCCTTCCAATTTCTCCCACTCCCACTCCCACTCCCCCATCCGCCCCGCCCTCTTCCACTCCCCACAATGGAAGTGCCTGCTGTGCCTGCTGTGCCTTCTTTGCCTGCTTTGCCTGCTGTGCCTGCTTTGCCTGCTTTGCCTGCTGTGCCTGCTTTGCCTGCATCAGCTCTCAGCCCCTTCTCACCTTCCCCCGTTCTCTCCTATACGTCTCCTCACCTTCCTCCCCCCTCTCCCCTCCTCTCCTCCCCAACCTCCGCCTTCCTTACCCTCAGATTTCCTCCTGCTTCCCCCATCAACGTCCCTCCAGCTCGCAGCAGGCATGGATCCAATTGAAGGGGTTTCTCTGGCAACAGCGGTGCTCAGCTGAAGCAAGCCTGTTCCTTCATTTTCCCCTCCATCCCCTCCCTTCCCCCTCCTCCTTCTCCCCTGTCAACGCCCTTCCAGCTAGGAGCGGGCACGGACCCAATAGAAGGGGGTGCTCTGGCCACAGCAGTGCTAGAGCATCTAGCAGGGGGGTCGGAAGAAGGTTCAAGTGAATCTTCACCTGTTTCTTCTGCTGGTGCTCTGCTGACCATGGCTACAACGCATCACGGGCAGCTCAAGACCCTCAAATACAGGTCAGTGCAAATGCACAGTGGGCTATCAAAGGCGTGTGGCGAGTGTACGCACTGGCTATTTTCCAAATCGTACACGTTTTTTCAAAATCTGCAAGCTTTCTTGCCAGACATTCATTTTTCAAGAATCATGCTCATATTTTCTAGCAGCCTGACTCTTAACCCCTTTGCCTGGATTCAATTCACCTGATTTTTTAAAGTAGGTCAAAGCTGCTTTCTCTTTTGCTTTCCCCTTCCCTTTCCCTCCCCTTCTATTCCTTTCTCCTTTCCCTTTTCCTTCCCCTTCCGCTTCCCCTTCCGCTTCCCCCTCCCCTTCCTCTCCGCCTTCCCATTTACCTCGTCCGTTACAACCCCTTCCAGGGATGCTCGTTTCAAGAATGCCTCGTTTGATGACAAGTGCGTCGTTCCCACGACCCTGGCGAACACAGGGGCAAAGTGCCAGCCGTTTTCTCGCCCTCCTCTCTCTCTTGGACAAGCTTCCCTCATGGAGATGCTCCTTCTGAGAATGAACCAGTTCAGTTTGACGACAAGCGCCCTGCTCCCACACACCGCATCCTGTGGGGCATCCCACCTTCCCACCTTCCGTTTTCCCTTTGTCTCTCCGTCCCTCCATGGACAGGGACGCACGCTTTGAGAACGCCTCGGTGGAGTTTGGCGACGAGCGCCTGCCTCCCACATCCCCCCTGCCCCACCTCTCTCCTGCTTCACCTTGCCTTCTTCCTTTCCCGTCACGTTGCCCATCAGAGATGCTCGTTTCGAAAACGCCTCGGTGGAGTTTGATGACCAGCGCCTCGCTCCCACCTACCGCCTCCTGTGGGGCATCCCGGGGCGATCCAACGCGCTTAATATCGCGCAAAGGCTCGGGCTGCCTGGAGATATCATTTCGGCTGCCCGGGAGCTGCAAGGCAGTGCAAAGATGCAAGTGAATGAGGTGCGTGCGACTGCTTCTTTATTTTCCGCTGATATTCCAGCAAGCCCAATCGCATTCACTTCTGTGAATTGTTAAAAGTGCATGGAGCTGTTTTTTCTTCTCCCGAACGCTTCAAGTATCAGAGATATACAGTTACGTGCAACACTTTCCTCTTGTTTTTTTTTTTTTTCTGCTAAACTTTGATGTTTACTTGGCAGGTAATAACAGCAATGGAGGAAGCTAGAAGGGCGTATGAGACTGATGTGCAGGCCACTGCCTCTATTCTAAGGTGGGTGGGTGGGTGGGTGGGTGGGGGCGTGGATGTGGGCGTGGATGGGGGGCCGTGGTTTGTTGGGATCCATAGATGCATGCATGTGAGTGCATGACTGCTAAAAAGGCGTATGAGGCGGATGTGCCGGCCTCTGCTTGCGTCCTAAGGTGCGTTAGGGGGAGCACATGGATGGGGGGGGAACCCCTACATGCATGCTTCTGGATGGGGGGATGATGTAATTGTTCGTGTATTTTTTTTGTCCCCGTCCCTATCCCACAGGCAAGCAGAGTCTCTTTATTCTGACCTAACTTCAGCTGCCCGGCGCCTGCAGCTGCACCAGCAGGCGCTGCAGCTGGATGGGCAGCAAAAAGTTCAAGCCGCGGTTGTTGAAGGGCAAAAGTCGATCCGGGCAGCTGCCCGGGCAGCTGTGAGAAAAGCGAGGGAGGCAGAAGAAGCAGCTCTGTTTGAAGTGGGTGTGGCAAGGCAGAGAGGGGGGAGGGAGAAGGCGGGAGGAGCAGCTGGGTGGGGCACTGTGGAGGGGACGACAGGAAGCAGCAGATTGCCCCAAGGTACGTGTGAGGGCTTTTGAGGTGCTTCCAGCAGTGAGTGAGGGAGCTGTGAGAGGGAATTGGGGGGGAGGAGGAGGGGGGGAGGAGTTTCTGGGTGCGGCATGGAGGAAGGGGGGGGCATGTAGAATGGTAGTTTTCCCGAAGGTATCCGTTTGAGTGTGAGAGGGTGATATAAGATGAGAGGGGGAAGGGAAAAGCGTCTGGTGGATTATGGAGAGTCGCCTGGAAACCGGTTTGAGTGTGTGGGGTAGGGTGCTATTAAAGTGTGGAGGAGAAGTCGCCTACACACTCCATTTGAGCGTGTAGCATGCTGTTAGATGAGAGGGGAGAGGGGGGGAGGGAGAGAAGGCGCCTTATGGAGTGTGGAGGACAAGTCGCCTACAGAACTGCCTTTGCATTTTCTGTACCTTTTTTAAGTGGTGTCTTTAGGACAGAGCGGAAAGGGGAGAGGGGGAAGAAGCCTTTGGGTGGACCTTCGGGGATAGCCTTTTCAATCAGCAGTGGCTTGTTTTTTTTTTTCCCCAACCCCCTTGACTTGTCCAGCACAAAGAATTTTTTTTTTTAGTCGCAAACTCCTCGTTTCTTCCCGAATACTTGCAGCCAGCAGCAGCAGCGTGCATTCTCCCACAGGAATGCTCATGCAGTCGAAGCAGGCGAAGCAAGAAAAGGGACCTGCTGTCGGTGCGACAGTCTCAGTGCCTCGGTTGGGACTGAAAGGGAAAGTGCTGCAAGTGAATGTGGAGAAAGGGGAGGTGTTGCTACAGTGCGGACGCATGCAAATGAAAGTTTTATTGGATGATATATAGCCTTTTTGTTAATGTACAGTCATTCGCCAGATAGACGCTCCCCCACATGATAAACTCCAGGGCCTACTGTATCATCAGCTCTGGTAGCGCAGTTGTGAAACATCCTCTCCTGGGAACTAAGCATGTATAAGTGGGGTCTTAGGGCGTGTTCCTGCACCTCTTATCAGGCAAACCTCTTATCAGTCTTGCCTGATACAATGCGCGAATGGTTTTGGGGTTACGTGAATTCCAGTGTGATGTGACGCGAGCCTGATAAGAGGTTGGCTTGCTCGATAAGGGGCCGTAGGAACACACCCTTAGGTTGGTTATATGGTCACAACCAGTTACAAACAACATAAAGCAACGAGGAAATATACCACGATCGTTTTGATTCACAACGTTTACATACCGTAAACCCCCAGATATAAAGCCCCCCAAAATAAAGCACCCATGGGTGGTGTATGCAGGGAGTGTTTTCAAACGGTATTCGCAATAATATACCCCCCTTTTTGGCCTTGCCAATAGAGGACCCCCCCTGTATAAGCAGCCCAAATTTACGGTTGTTCAGCATAATATACCCCCCTTTTACAAAGTGTTAGTTTATTGTTCAAGCTATATTTTGGGTTCTTGCGTTAGCATACACTCTACCGTACTTCATGGTTCACATGACAATCTAGATGAATCTAACACTATCGAAGGACCTAGGACTCCTCAGAGTCATAAGGAAGGCCGTCATCCTCCCACGGATCCTCCTCTCTCACGCCGCCCTCGACTTCATCGTCGTCGGCCTCCTTCTCATTGTCGTCGCCAGAGAAGTCCTCTGAGCAAGCCTGTTGATCAGGCAGCTCGTCGTCGGGCACACAGGGGGTGTCAACCGGGTTGGGACTCTCTACGAGCACAATGTCTTCGAGGACCTCGACCTCGTTCCCGCTACGCATGTGAGCGAGGATCAAATGATCCTCGCTACCATCTGTGGCATTAGAAATGCCACATGTCTTGAATGCTTTACGGATGAGGTCGGCCGGCACGGCGGCCCATGCGCGAGAGACCCACTTGAGCACAACAGACACCGGTGGCTTCTTCAAATTTCCTGCAAAGGTAAGAACAGCCGTAACATTAAGATGCAGAACAACCACAAAACGCACGCCTTGACATGCCGAAACATCGGTTACCTTCCTGGGTTTTCAGATTGACGCCCTCCTCCGCAAACCACCTGGCGTACAGATCCCTCATCCCCGCCTTGAAGCTCTTGTTGACGCTCACGTCGAGCGGTTGCACGTACGGCGTGCATCCGCCGGGAATGACGGCGGGGAAAAGGTGGAACAACGAAAGCGTTTGGCGATCAGCGGGGGTGAGATGCCCCTCGTACGAATCCATGACTAGGAGGGTTGGGGGCCGTGTTCCTTTGGTCGTTGCTGTGAACGGCGCCACGACGTGGGTGATCCAGTCACGGACGAGACGGTCATCCATCCACCCCTTCTCCAGCGCGCTAATAACATCTGCGCACACAATAGATGTGTGCCTGGTAAGCGGGAGATTCAGTACAAAACCTATAGCCCGTCCTTCTTAAACTAGAGACTCACTCACCTTTCGGCGTGTAGCAATTTGGAGTAGTCTTTCGCTTGAAGACAACAAACGGCGGGAGCTTCTCTCCCGCCGCCGTGCAAGAGAGCATGACCGTTATGCGTTCATTTTCATACCCAGCCGTACGCACGTGGACAGTTCTCGCGCCACGCCGTTCGAGCGTCCGTTCTTCTGGCATCTCAAGGTAGACAAGAGTTTGGTCGGCATTTATGATGTTCTCTGCGCCAATCTCCCGCTTGACGATCATCTGGCGACAAAAATGCCAAAACAGCTCGCATTTTGGAGCGGACAAAGCACGGTGAAGTCAGGAACATGATGTTGTTAATAGTGGCAATAAGGAAAACTCTAGATAAACTTACCCGTGGGTAGTTTTTGCCTCATTTTCGTCTTGACCCGCACGGAAAGGCCCCAACGGCGCCGGAAGCGGAAAGACCAGCGGGAGTATGCTTGCCATGCTTTGCCGGAATAATGCTCCTTCATCCAGTCCCGACTCCAACTTTGCAGAAGACCCATGGATACCGGCAATCCGCGACACCGCGCGGCGAGGTACCGGGTGTACACAGCCCGCTCCATGTCGGGGTGCTTCGGCTGCCTGCCGCCGCCGCGCATACGCTTCCTGCTCGGTGCGGCCTGCTTCATCTGCGCACGAAGCTTAATCCACTCCCTCATCATTGACGGCTGCACCTTAGCTAACTTTGCAACAGATCGAATGGACGGAGGAGGGGTAGCATCAAACATAGAAACCCACATTAGCTTCTCATGGACGGTAAACGAGCGTCGCTTCCGCTCCGTCAACTTAGAATGCGGCGAAGGCGGCCTACGATCGGGATTCGTCTCTGATTCCTCCGCCGATGGCTCGTGAGCGCGCGGGAAAGAGGGCACCCTGACATCCGGCAAACCCCACCGGTCGTCGTCGTCAAGCTCGTCTGGTGATTTGCTGTTGTCGGCAAAGTCCTCATAATCGTCTGAAGCTACTACCCCACCACGCTTGAGCCAAGGCCCGTGGCCAGCCATGTTTCTAGGATGTTGTGAATGACATGGAGGTGTGACTGGGAGCTGCCTAAAAGCATCGAGTGTGCGGTTCGTTGCTTCTGCGCACGACCCACGTTTGTGCTTTCCGCGCTTTGTCAACGGGCAACACTTTGACGCGGTGGACATTTCGCAAGTAGGTTTTGTGGATTTGGGGCACGTTCTTGAGCTCGGGTTCTATGTGAATTCTGACCCACGTTCCTGAGACCAAGTCGCTCGAGCCCACAGCCCAAATAAACATTGTTCTTATCACTAGTGAATAGCGCATACAAAACTGATATCGGCCATTTGTTGACCCACAATTGAACACCCGGGTGCAATATGATCGTCCCGTATTGGTGATTTCTCCTACAGTTGAGGTGGGAGGCCTGTACTGCACCACACAACCCCCCACATGGAGAATTGAAGTGTCGCCCTTCTTGCCCGTCCACTTCACGTGCGGCGACGAGCTCCCGGTGATCGCCGTGGTAGAAAGCAGGTCGTGCCGGCGCACGGCGTGGTGCATCGCGTACGGCCAGTAGATGGAGGGGAGTTTTGACTCCTTTAGCAGCACGCGCACCTTCGTCATGAGGGTGCGATTGACTCGCTCGGCAACTCCTTGCTACGGGTGTGCGTAAGGGAGTGAAATGTGATGCATGATCCCTTTCTGCCCTAGGTAATCCTGTAGTTCTTTGCTTCGAGATTCCGCCGCGCCGTCTGTCCACCATATTTGTAACCTGTTCCCTGACTGTCGTTGTGCGTGAGCCAGCCAAAGGCGAAACACCTCGTATGCCTTGCTGCGAAACTGGACGTTGGCGATCCACGCGTAGCACGTCCCTGCATCCATGAAGATAAGCGTATACCTTTCGACGACGAGGAAATCATTGTAAACCTTGTGCAATTTCGGGTAGCGGTTAGTGCCCAAGTCTAGCACGGGAAATGGCTGGTGAGTTAGCGAAGAAGTAAGAAGCAACGGCGAAGAAGAGGGAATTGTCGCGCGGACATTATACCTTCTTCTTCAGCTTCGTCGTTCGCCGTCGCCATCATCAGCGCGAGGAAATTGCGTAGCGGGATGTTTGTTTCCAAATTAGTACCTGGGACAAGTTCAGGTTCGCGCTGTTCGGGATCAGGGCCATAGACAGTACCGCGTCGGGTCGAGGGTTCATCGCCCCATTCAATTGTGTCCCATGGGTCGCACAATGGTATAATGCCAGTGGGTAGTGGTGGCGGTGTGGGCAGTCGCGAGGGTGGCCAAGAGGAACAATTGAGGGTGCGGTTTCTTCCTCAGTCCCCCCCCCTTGTTCTTCTCGGCTGTGTGGGGTGCACCAGCCTTTGCCTGAACCTCCCCACTCGCCACTAGTGCCGCCCTATCCGCTAGTTGCTGTTCCCCAAACTTCGCCGGCGCTGGCCCATGCGTGTCATAGGAGCCGCGGGTCCTTCCGCGCAGTATTCACTGAAGGCATTTGTGAGCGGGTCCGGGGAGCAACGCGTCCGGCATCCCAAAAACCCGGTGTGTAGGGCCCGCGAGTTCTAGCGTTGACCGGCCTTTGTCGGGCGGCGCGAATCGCTAAGCTTCTGTGATCGCGTCAAGTCCTCTGCCGGCAATGTTGGCAATGGTCGAAGTGGTAGGAGTGTGGGAGTCC